GGAAGGAGGGAAGGCTGAGTCAACCTGGAGCCAGTCAGGATCAAACTGCTGGCTATGGGCAGTGAGTTATCCTGTCATACTGCTTTCTAACCACTGTGACTCCACATCTCCCTCCCTCCCTCCCTCCCTCCCTTTCCTTCCCAATAGACTTACATACCGCTTCATAGTGCTTTCCAGCCCCTCTCTAAGCAGTTTAGAGTCATCCTTTTGCCCCCAACAATCTGGGTCCTCATTTTACCCACTTCGGAAAGGATGGAAGGCTGAGTCAACTTTGGGTCTGTTTCATAGGGAGTTCTTGACTTACAACCATTTTGCTTAGCGACCGTTTGAAGTTCCAACGGCATTGCAAAGAAACAAAAAAAATCCCTTTTTTCCCCCAGTGTCATCGTTGCTTTGAAGCTTGGCTGTAAGTTGAGGACCACCCGTACGTCTCTGGAAAACTTTTGGCAGATACAGGGAGTCCTCGACTTCATTTAGTGACCATTACGACAGGACTGAAAAAAAGTGACTTACCACCCTTTTCCCACCTTCCCCAGGCGTGAGGGGATTTACATTCGGATGCTTGACCCGCTGACTCGCTTTATGACGTTTGCAGGCTCCCGGAGTCACATGATCCCCTTTTGCGACCTTCCGACAGGCAAAGTCAAAAGGGGAGGAACCAGATTCGCTTAACGACCGCATGACTAATTTTAAGAATGGCGGCGACTCACTTAACAAAGGCGACAGGAAATGTTGTAAAACGGGGGCCAGACAACTCATTCCTCGTTGAACAACCCCGACGTTGTGGTCGTAAGTCAAGGACCGCCTGTATTTTGGAGAAGAGGGGGTGGGGAAAGCTTTTTAAAGGATTTTTTAAAAGAGAAACTCTATAAAAGCGACCCCATTCCTCAGGTTTTGATTTATCCTGCCTTGCTCCCGTTCACCCTTGTCTCTTTTCTGTTTAAAAATAGAAGCTGTTAATCATCTTTTCTCTCTTCCGGGGGCTCCTGTATATAATTTATTCCTGCCGTTGCCTCCTTTCTCTTCAGTTCAATTGGTGTGCTGGTCTCACTTTTTCTTTTTTCTTTTTTTCCTGGTTTTTTGAAAGGACCCGTTTGCTTTATAAAATTCACCCTGGATCGTTTCAATCGTTTTCCCTTTTGAAACGGGCTGGCCCAGTTTGAGAGTGATGGACTTGCCTGGTAGAGACTAAAAATTGGATTTGCTTCCCAAACCATTTAAGGATGTATAGGAGGGAAGGGTGGAGAAGACTACAGGTCCTTTAGTTTACTTTTGGAATGGATCTTTTCCGTGTGTGTGTGTGTGTGTGTGTGTGTTTGTGTGTGTGTATATGTATATGTACAGTATATATACAATATGTATACAGTATATGTGTATGTGTGTGTGTGTGTGTGTGTGTATATATATTTGTTTTTTTAAGTTTTCGCGGGTACTTACATGTATGGCATTCGGCTTTGTTCGGGTATTTTCCCACGTCATTGTAGTTGTTCTTTCTTTTAAAGTTGTAGCAACGTTTCAGCAGAATCTCATCTGCCATCATCAGGCTTCTGTATAGTGTTTGTATATATATATATATATATATATATATATATATTTTCTGAGGTTCTCGCGGGTATTTGTATGTGGATCTTTGGTTATTCGGGTTTTCTCCCGCGTAAGATTGGAAGTATCCAGGCAACGTTTCGATGAAGTCTCATCATCTTCAGGCTTGTGTCTTCGGCTCTATGCTTGTGTCTTACTCTGAGAAGCACAGAGCTGAAGACACAAGCCTGAAGATGATGAATGAGACTTCATCGAAACGTTGCCTAGATACTTCCAATTTTACGCGGGAGAAAACCCAAATAACCAAAGATCCATATATATATATATATGTATGTATGTATGTATGTATGTATATGTATATGTATATGCAGGTCTTGGCGTGTTCGGGTCTTTTCCTGTGTAAGATTGTGAGCATCTTGGCAACGTTTCGATGAAGTCCCACTCGCCATCTTCAGGCTGGTGCTTTCGGCTTCGTGCTTGTGCGAGCGAGTGGGACCTTGTCGAAACGTTGCCAAGATGCTCGCAATCCATGAAAACAAATATATGTATATATACTGTATATACGTTTGTGTGTGTGTATGTGTATATGTATAAGTATGTATATATACAGTATATATAGAGTATATGTCTATATCTGTGTATGTGTGTGTGTGTGTGTGTATGTGCGTGCGTGTGTGTGTATTATTTTATGATTTTTTTCTTTAACATCCATAAGTATCTGGTGAACAATGTATTATCTGGGTCAATTTACCATGTTTCCCCCAAAATAAGACCCTGTCTTATAATTCTTTTTGGCCATCAAAAAAGGCACCAGGTCTTATTTTGGGGGGACGTCATCCACTGACTAACCTCACTTGCGTGTGTCGCCCCCGGCCTCCTTTTCGCTGTCAGAGGCCTTCAGGAATGTCTTCTTCTGCGGCTGGCAAGGCTTTCCTGAAGGCCTCTGCAGGAGATAACGGAGCTCTGGATCGATCCAAAGCTTTGTTCACAGCTACAGGGGCCTTCAGGAAAGCCTGGCCAGCCTTGCCAGCGGCAGTAGAAATGGGCCGGCAAGGCAGGTGTCAGGGGGTGCGAGGCCTGGTTACAACTGTCCAAAGGGAAGTAGTAGGGCAGCTCCACCACCCCCATCCCCCCCTTAGCTTAATTTTAGAGTGGGCGGGATCTTAATTAGGGCTTATTTTGGGGGGTAGGGCTTATATTGGGCGCATGTAAAAAAAAATCAAGCTAGGACTTACTTTCAAGGTAGGTTGTATTTTCGGGGAAACGAAACTTTATAGACCATTCTGATAAAGATGTTATCGTTTAAATATACATAATCGTAATTTTTCAACTTCTAATGCTTGTGTGTACACAGTAATGATTTTTGCCCTCCCCGAGCCTCCTGCACTTACCTGGGATTGAAAACGGGCCGCGTGGAGACTCCTGGGAGCGGTGGGACCAGCCCAATCATTGCAACTATCGGTTCAGCGAACCAGATGTAAAATTAACGTCCGGATCGCCCAAACCGGAGCGAACCGCCCTGCCTGTGTCATGTCCGCTTCATTCCTTCTTGTTTTCATTCTGCAGGTGTCCGAGATGTCTCCCTTGGTTTGGTTCCACTTGCTGCTCGCTCTGCCCTGCTTCAGCACCTCAAGGACTTGTTTCCCGAGATGTCACTGCGAAGTGGAGACCTTTGGCCTCTTCGACAGCTTCAGCCTGACCAAAGTGGACTGCAGCGGGATCGGATCCCACCTCGTGCCTGTTCCCATTCCCTTGGACACCACCTACTTGGACTTATCTTCCAACCACCTGGAAGCCGTCAACCAGTCCATGTTAACTGGGCCTGGTTACACCACTCTTGTAGGCCTTGACTTGAGCTACAATAAAATCTCCAGTGTGCTCCCTGCCACCTTTACAAAACTCAGGTATCTGGAGTCTTTGGATCTGAGCCATAACTCTTTGGTGACTGTCCCCGAGGACTGTTTCTCTCAGTCCCCTCTGGGAGAAGTGGACCTCAGCAACAACCTTCTCTTGGAGGTCACTTTGAACATCTTTGCCTTCAAAGGTCAAGGGAAACCCATCAACGTTGACCTTTCCAACAACTTAATAAGCCGGGTGTTCAGATACCCGGATAAACCCATTCCTAACATTCAAAGCTTCAATCTCTCGGGGAATCGATTAACCAGCGTTCCGGATCTTCAAGGGATCCCCCTTCGCTACTTAAACCTGGACGGAAACCCGGTGTCCACCATTGAGAAGGATGCTTTCCTGGGTCTGAAAGGGTTAACTCATTTGTCCCTGAGTGGGATTCACCATCTCTTGGACATTTCGCCTTTTGGCTTCAAGGACCTCTCTGCTCTCCAAGTGCTGGACTTGTCCAACAACCCCAACATGAAATCCTTGAACCCCAAGGTTTTCTACAGCCTTAGTTCTCTTCAAGAGCTCAACCTATCCGGGACGGGAGTGGCCACTACATTCTCCAAACCTATGTTGAGATACTTGCCTTCCATCAAGAGCGTGGCCTTGGCCAAGAACATCCGGTGTCTCAAGACCGTTCGGGAAGGCCACTACCACCGAGCAGCTGGACCGAGCAAGAAAGAGGTCCTACGATGTCACGGTGCCCACGGATCCATGGCGCCATATGTGTTGTGACTGAGGACCGAGCCTCCGCATGACGAGACTTAAAACAAAAACAAAAAAAACACAGCCACGAATGTGCCTTCTGTACAAACATTTAATTTATACTTTTTTTTGTATATCTCAACTCTTTGTTAACAATAACGGATGGATCAGAGCGCTTGCGAGCCTGGTTTATTTCAGCGGTCCCCCAAATTTCCAGGTCCGTGGACTGCCGGCAGTGCGGGGGTGGTAGAAGGGGGATGGTTTGGTTCTGAGTAAAGCTTCCTGAGACCATAATTAAGCACATGCTTAGTCCAAACAAGTCTTGTTTTATTTCAACACTGGGAATTATTTTCATTCCCAGCCATTAATGAGTCCCAAACAGTCTCTCGAGATAAGCACCCACCTTTCTCTCCTTTGAGTGGCTGCCAACAACTAAAGTGCCAAATGAACTGTAAAAACGAACCGAAGTACAAAGTCCACACAGAGCTTCAAGGTTTAATCCAAACAGACTGAACAACTTTGCTTCCTGCAAAGGTTTCTCTACCTTTGCCTGTCCTTTATACCTTATGGGAGGGCCAATCACCTCCCAGCCTTACTCCCAAGTTGCCCCTTTTGTCTTAACTGTTCTTGCCTTCTGGCAGCTCTGTGCACATGTGCACTGGGAACAGGCTCCCTTTGCTCCTCTGCCTCGCTGCTGCCAGACTCTAGAGGCTCCGGAGTCAGCACCCCACTCCCAGATGGTCCTGGCCCCATCTCTGCGTTGGATGCAGGACCCTCGTCCGAGTCCTCCCCAGACTCCCAGACTGGTCCCCGTTCTTCCTCACTTGTCCGATTCCACTGCCGGCGAACCACAACAGGTTTCCCGTTGACGCCTGCCACTTGTGCAAATAGTTCTGTGTGTTTGCACACTTGCCTGCAGCTTGCACGGCCCGGTTTCTAATAAGCCCATGGACCACTTACCAGTCCGCAGAACGGGTTGGGGGAGGTCCCCTGGTTTATTTGATTCCCTAATCCTCGATTGTTTCTCCTTGAAACCCTGAGACCACATCTGCGGATCTACGGTGCCCTTCAGATACAAGGAGAGTCCTCAACAGTTCATTTAGCGACCATTCAAAATTGCAATGGCAGTGAAAAAAAAGTGACTTGTGCCTGGTTTGCACACTTAGGACCATTGTAGTATCTCCATAGTCACATGTGTCAACTAAAAAAATACTCCTTTGGTTTTTTTAATTGCCAGCAGAAAGGGAGTGGGAGAAAGCAGTGCATTCCTTAAATGCATCAGATAATCGCCTTGGCAGCCCAAAGTTGTCGACGTGCCACAATATTACTGGAGAGCATGATTGATGACTCTTGACTATGGATGTGTCCCATTGGAGAATATACATCCAGGGGGTGAGGGGTGGGAGAAGACCAGGGTCAAGGGATAAAACGAATGATGTATTTTAGTGTCTACTGCACCCAGCTAACACCAACATGGCCACTCCAAATATTATTTTTTTTAACTCTGAGAGACGTGGCTAGAGACTTATGATTTGAATGGGGATGGATTCGTTGGAGCCCTGACAACATGATCACCATTCGGACTCTTGGCAACTGGCATGTACTTACGAAGGGTTAACTCGTTTTTATCAACTGCAGCGATTCACTTAGCGGTGGCAAGAACGGTCATAAAATGGGCCCAAACTCACTGAACAGATGTTTTGTAAATTCTGGTCTCCATTGCGGTCGTAAGTTGAGCATTGTATTTTACCATCCTGGGAAAAAGAAGTCTACCTTCTTTAAAAAACACACACACACACATTTAACCTTTCTTCTCTCTCCTGGTTTTGGTTGCATCACAGTTAAAGCCGAGTTAAGTTTAAGGCAAACATTTTACGCAGGTCGCTCTCGATGCCTTTTTCTACCCAGCTGACATTTGGGCTGAAAACAATGTCATTATTTTATTTTTGTCTTGGCAAGAATGGCCAAGTCTTGAAGAGGCAGATTTCAACTATAGTTCTCCGGATCCAGCCGGATAAGATGAGAAACTTTTCCTGCCAGCTTGGATGTCAAAAATTTGCAAGCTTCAAGAAGAAGAAATTACTCCCCAAAGAGAACAGATTTGAAAAAGTGATGATCTAAGCAAAATCTCCAAGACTCCTGCAATTTAACCTTTTTTTTTTTTTTTTTAAAGAGTCTGCCTGAAAAGGTAGCGTTCCAATTTTCTTGGGGTTTGATCTACATACATACATATATTGATTTTGGGTGGAAAACTGAGTTCATGTATATTTCTTTTGCGTCCATGCAGAATTTTGGTAAGGTTTTTTTTTTTTTTTTTTTAAATGTACATTGATGTAGCTTTGCTCAACCGAGTAGAACGGCTTACGAGTCGTCCTCGACTTAATGACCGCAATTTGGAGCCCAGAATTTCTGCTGCTAAACAAAACCGCCATTAAATGTGTTTCCACCCACCCACCCAACCCCCATTTTACAACCTGTGTTGCTGCATTCGTTAAGCAAATCATTGCAATTGTTAAATTGGTCGCTCACGGTCGTTAAGCGAATCTGGCTTCCCCATTGATTCTGCTTGCCAGAAGGTAGCAAAAAAGGGAATCCCATGTGACCCCAAGACACTACAACGGTCGTAAATACGAGTCGGTTGTCAAGCATCTGACCGGAAAATCACGTGACTGAAAGGGACGTAAGTGTGAAAAACGATCATAAAGTAACTTTTTCAGTGCTGTTCTGACATTGAACATCACTAAATGAACTGTTGTAAGTCAAGGAGGCCCCTGTATTATTTTCCCATATAGCCCTGGGGTGTTTTTGTCCAAATTTCTCCATGGTTGGCTGATTGCATTCTAACACAGGAACTACTATTTCCAAGGAGTTTAAAGTTTTAAAATCAGAGTTCCCTCAATATATTTTCTTTTTAAAAAGCCAGAAATCCATAAATGACAAGTAGAATCTGTATTTAAATAGGGATGTCGGGATTCTGGCAGTTCCCCCCAATTAAATCATGAGTCTCGAGTCAAAACTTCCAAAACTTCCAAAGATTTATTAGGAGTAAAATATGCCCGCGCTGCCTGGGTGTAGCCAACTCTGAGACACATCATTCAGTGTCACCCTTGACCCTGGTTTTCCCCCACCCCTCTGGGTGTATCATAATTCATATTCTCCAATGGGACACCTCCATAGCCCAGAGTCCTTAATCATGCTCTCCAGTTAGAATTGTGCACGGCAGAAACTTCAGTCACCTAGTTACTATCTTTGAAAAACTATGTATGGAATGCACTTTCTATTTCCAAGCTGCCGCACTGCTCTTCCAAACCCCTTTCCCCCCCTCCCTTGCCTAAAATGGGGCAAAACTCCCTTGACAAATGTCTCACTTAAGAACATAAACTCTGGGCTTGATTGCAGTCGTAAGTCGAGCCCATTAAAAGCCATGACGGAACTGCTTGTGGCTTTTAAATTCTCGTTCAGAAATCTGCCTGCAAATGCCTTACTTAAGTACGTTCACCTCCTGCCAGGCTCCCACACTTAATTTGCAAGCTGACCAACATAAGAATCAGGATTCCGGCAGTTACCCCCCAATTAAATCCTGAGTTTCGTGCCAAACTTCCAAAACTTCAAAAGGATTTTTTGGGAGTAAACATATCCGGCACTGCCTGGGTGTAGGCGACTCTGAGACACATCATTCATTGTCACCCTCGACCCTGGTTTCATCCATCCCCTGGGTGTATCATTATTCATATTCTCCAATGGGACACATCCATAGCCCAGAGTCCTCAATCGTGCTCTCCAGTTAGAATTGAAACTCTATGCTATGGATGTGTCCCATTGGAGAATATGAATTATGATACACCCAGGGGGTGGGGGGAAAACCAGGGTCAAGGGTGAAAATGAATGATGTGCCTCACAGTCGGCTGCACCCAGGCAATGCCACATCTTCTAACTCCCAATACATCTTTTTGGAGTTTGGCTAGAGACTCATGATTTAAATGGGGTTAAGTGTCGGAATCCTGACATTAGGTCTCTCCATCCTACACAATCTCTTCATTCTTCCCCCTTTCCCTAACGATGAATGCAATGAAAGTTTAAACAACAACAACCAAATTCTTCTGTACAAGAAAAATCCCCTTCCAGGGAAATTCGATGAGGCGTGATCTTGTTGACCTGGCCTGACTTTTGAGCTCGACAAAAATGCAATTTAAGAGCTCGGCAAAAATGCAAAAATGCAGCCTCCCTACAACAGAGCTAAATCACACACACACACATCCATAAAAGTAACAATCATTAAAACCTAGCTCGGCTGTGATATTTAAATGTTGTCACTTGCTTTTCCCAACCAGGTTTGTATGAACCCAATGCGTCTGGGAGGGTTTCTTAATTTCTCTACGCAACTCTGCAAAAGTTTGTTTATTTATCCTTCACGTTTTCCCTTGGAGAAAAAAAATATTGTCAGTGGTGTTTTCGGCCCACTCTCGAAGGAAGTGAGAAGTGCCAAAGATTGCCTAACCCTGGACAGGAAATAGGAAGAATTGGACAATCCTTGGCTTTGTTCCCAGGTCTTCTTTTTTCTGCAACATCCTGGTTTACTTAGGGGAGGGGTGGAATCCATAATGAAAAGAAGGACACGATAGCAGTCTTCCAACATTTGAGGGGTTGCCCCAAAGAAGAGAGGGTCAAGCTATTCTCCAAAGCACCTGAAGGCAGGACAAGAAGTAATGGATGGAAACTCCTCAAGGAGAGAAGCAACTTAGAATTAAGAAGAAATTTCCGGGCAGTGGGAACAATTAACCAGTGGAACTACTTGCTACCAGAAGTTGTGAATGCTCCATCAGTGGAGATTTTTAAGAAGAGATTGGATAGCCATTTGTGTGAAATGGGTCTCCTGCTTGGACAGGGGTTTGGACTAGATGACCTCCAAGGTTCCTTCCGACTCTTGTTATTCTGTTAAGTCTGAAATCCTTGACTTACAACAACAATTAGGACCAGAATTTATGTTGCTAGGCGATTTGATAATAAAAGCATGACTTGGTCGCTTAGCAACGGCAATCCCATTAGTAACCAAATTCCATGGTTGTTAGGCAAGGCAACTTCCTGCTGGCTTTCCCAAGTAGTCAGTGGGGAAGCCAGCAGGAAGTCGGGAGTCCCAGATTGGCAGGCAGGTAAGTGGGTATTGCTGGGTGGGGAAGGATGTGAAATGGGACGCAGAGATCCAGGAAGGTGCAAGGGGGTTGCACAAGACTGCAATGAGGGTATAAGGAAAATGAGGCAAGGAATGGGGACCATGTACCACGGTGTGTAAGGGTGCAAAGGAAATATGGCGAGAGGAGGGAAGAGCGCAAAGATTGCATGAGAGTGCAAAGTAGAAGCAGTGAGAAAAATGAGGTTGCAATGGAGTGTACAGAGGTGCAAACAACAGGGAGTTACAGAGGTGCAAGGGAGGCACAGGGAGTTGTTTGTAGGCTAAACAGGGAAGGGGTGGGGGGGAAATCCCAGAAAAATATAATTTTAAAAATGAAATTCAACGTAGAGAAAAGTAAAGTCTTACATTTAGGCAAGAAAAACCATAAGTACTCCTATAGACTGGGTGAAACCAGGCTTAGTAGCAGGAACTGTGACAGGGACCTTAGAGTCTTAGTGGACAACCAATTAAACATGAGCCAGCCATGTGCAGCAGCACCAGCCAAAAAAGCTAATGCAATCCTAAATTGCATTCACAGAGGGATACAATCCAGATCAAGGGAGGTACCCAATACCACTCTATAAAACCTTAGTAAGACAACACTTGGAATACTGCATCCAGTTTTGGTCACCACAGTATAAAAAGGATGTTGAGACTCTAAAAAAGTGCAGAGAAGAGCAACCAGGAGCATTAGAGCACTGGAGACTAACACCTACGATGAACAACTGCAGGAACTGGGCATGGCTGGTCTAGTGAAGAGAAGGACCAGGGGAGACAGGAGAGCAGTGTTCCTATATTTGAGGGGCGGCTCCAAAGACGAAGGGGTCAAGCTATTTTCCAAGGCACCCAAAGGCCAGACAAGGAATAATGGATGGAAACTGATCAAGGAGAGATTCAACCTAGAAATAAGGAGAAATTTTCTGACAGTGAGAACAATCAAACGATGGAACAGAAGTTGCCTTCAGAAGTTGTGGTAGCTTCATCCCTGGAGGCTTTCAAGGAGAGGCTGGACTGCCATCTGTCCGAAATGGCGTAGGGGCTCCTTTTTGGGCGGGTGGGTTGGACTAGAAGACCTACAAGGTCCCTTCCAACTCTGTTCACCTGTTAAACTCCTTCAGGAAACCCACATGGATGATTTTGCAAAAGTCAGCAGGAGTCTAGCTTGCCTGAAAGGAGAGTTCACATGTTATGGTCAATCCAGAAAATATAATGCTGTTTGCTTAACATCACTGATTACTGATAAAAACAAAATATTTTGTAGCTCAGGGTTGAACTATGGAGTCCTCTGAGCTTGATTGTTTTCTTGCAGACATTTCATTACCGAACTAGGTAACATCAACAATGCTGGAAGGGAGTGGGGTTTGTTCCTAATTTATATACTTAGTACAATGATATATGCTAAGATTGACTAATATTTGGAATAGACTCTCCTGCTCGGGCAGGGAGTTGGACTAGATGACCTCCAAGGTCCCTTCCAACTCTGTTATTCTAAGTGATTGCCAAACTTCATTGAACTTGAAAAGGTAAGCAAGGTTTGAGAGGAATAATGCACGGATAGGAGACCACCAAGTCCCAAGACCTATAAGCTGGTGAATGAGAAGTAGTCCTTGACATATGACTACAATTGAGGCCAACATTTTTGTTACTAAGCAAAACAGTTGTTAAATCAGTTTTGCTCTGTTTTTTTTTTAACTTTTCTTGCCACAGTTGTTGTGAATTACTGCAGATGTTAAATGAATAAATCTGGTTTGGATATTGACTTTGCTTGTCAAAAGGTCACAAAAGGGAATCACATAACCTTGAGACACAACAACGGTCATAAATACGAACCAGTTTGCAAGGGTCTGGATTTTGATCACATGACCATGGGGGTGCTACAATGGTTGTAAGTGTGAAAAATGGTCATAAGTCACTTTTTAAAACCCCTTTGTAATTTGAACGGCCCCTAAAACCTATGGTTTGATGGCCATCTGCTGATCTTCAAGACTTTATGAGAGGAAAAATATTCTGAATTTCTCAGGGGGAATTTTTTTCCCCCCTCTTGGGGCTTCTGCAAAACCTTTGAGTTCAATCATTGTTTGGGAGCTCCATTTATCTTTTCTCTGTATAAAATGATGCTTTTTTTTGTCCAAGAGAAATCTTGGCAGCTGTTACGGCTCCCTCACTGGAAAACAAATGGGATTTCTTGATCCTGAAATCCGTGGAGATCCAGTGCCCCCTTCTGGATTGGCCTTGATCACTCAGCCTTGCATTATCCACGGCTGAACAACGCTAGATAATTAATCAAACAACCGAGATTTAATTAAGCAGTGTTTCTCAATCTGGGCCCCTTTAAGATGTGTGGACTTCAACTCCCAGAATTCCCCCCACCCAACATGGCTGGCTGTGGAATTCTGGGAGTTGAAGCCCACATACCAGAAAATAAGGATGAAAAACTCTGATCTGGACTGGAGCATTTATCGGTAGTCCTGGACTTACAAGAGTTCATTTAGTGACCGTTCAAACTTACAGCAGCACTGAAGTGACTTATGACCACTTTTCACACTTAATGACCGTTGCAGCATTTCCCCCATGGTCAACGTGATTCAAAATTCAGATGCTTGGCAACCAACTCATATTTATGACGGCTGCAACGTCCCGGGGTCATGTGATTTACCCCTTTTTTGTGACCATCTGACAAAGTGGAAGGGGAAGCCCCGTTCGCTTCACAACCATGCTACTCCCTGAACAACTGCAGTGATTCACTCAACGATGGTGGCAAGAAAGGTCGTAAAAGGGGGCAAAAGTCACTTAACCAATGTCTCAGCAACTGTTGTGGTTCGCCGGCCGCAGGTGCGGACGGCTGAGGTCTCGGAGAGTGAGGACTCAGATGAGGGGCCTGCGTGTGATGCAGGGATGGGGCCAGGACCATCAGGGAGTGGAGTGTGGCCTTTGGAGATGGTGGAGGCTGGCAGCAGTGAGGAAGAGGCCCCTGAGGAGCCTGTGCCCAGGGTGCGTGCGCGCAGGGCTGCTCGAAGGAAAGAGCAGCTGCAGCAGCACGGGCAACTTGGGAGTAAGGCTGCAAGGTGAAATAATAGCCAGCTGAGAAACCGGAGTTCTTTGCAGGAAGCAAAGAAGTTTTTGCACTCAAGTCTAGTGGACGTTCGGGCTCCCTTAGTTTGTGTTTGGAGACTCTTTGTGTTTGGAATATTTCTTGGCAACTTTATCTAGTGTTCTTGGCAGCCTTGCACCACCTTGGCAAGGCTCGTCCTTATCAGAGACAATTAGTTTGAAACAACCTTTGAACTGGGAAGGAATGGAATTCATAAAGAATCATTAAAAGGTTTTGCTGTTACCTCCATTTCGTGTTTGTTTCCTTGGAACAAGGTTTGGGTCAGAACAGCAACAGAAATTTTGGGCTCTGTTGAAGCAGTTCCTGTTAAGTTTGGGAAATAATGGAGACCAGACATCTGACCAGTGACTTCAACTCTTTAATAATCGTAAATAGAACAGAACAGAGCAAGGCTATGGGCAACAGCAACCCTTTTATAGGGTTATCTGCTACCTTATTAACCAATGACATGTGCCATAAGTTCAAACTTATAACCAATGAGAAGTGTCCAAATAGTGGCCAATCAGGGACTACTTATGGACCAATCCCTAGTTGTTGTATAAGGGCCAATCAGGTGTGCAGGTTTCCAAACCCTGATTTGCATTTATGTTAGTAACTTTTATTGATTCACAACACCCCTCCCCCTTGGGTTCCGTTTGAGGGGAGCTGTAATAAAATCCTCAAGATAGACAGGCCGTTTGGTCTGTCTGGATGATTTCCGTGGCTCCACCGGTTTTGGTCTAAGGTCCGGTTCCGGTGGAGCGTTTGGACGATCTTTATTAAATTCAGTTTCGCTGCACGGTGATTCCGTGCTGCTTCCACTGTGGTTGTCTCTGCTACTCCGTGTTTCTTCGGGGTTTTGCAGTTCGGTTTCCCCCGTATTAAAGTTCCCTGAAAAA